GAGACGCGTTTTCTCTCCCTTTAAACAAACATTGAGTGTGATTAGAACAACTTATAAATAACTCATAATTATTTACTCAATATGAAATAAAACGTGAGAAGAGTTTTATCTTGACTTATATGAAACATATTTAAAGGGGATTTTCTACCGTTCTGCCATATGAGGGCATTGATTATTTATTATTTCTTCAGTCCTTAATATAGGATCTAATTATTATAAGACTATTTCTCATATTTATTAATTTTTCTTAAATCACTCTTATGGATACTCCCTAACTATAATCAAGTAGAAGAGGGAGGGAGGATATTAAGGAATATGATTATGGTATTTTAAGAAAAACATATCATATTTCTTATAATTAATCAACTCACCTAACTTTTTTAATCTAATCAAATTAGTTAAATTGATTTTATATTAACAACGGAAGATTATTTAATATACTAATTCTCTCTTGTTTTTCATTTTTCCCCCGTTCCTTTGAGTCACCATATGCTCGCATTCGCACCTTGCATCCAAGTTCGTGCCTTTTTGGGTTTTCCTTCCCCTCCCTCTAGATACTCTCCTAATCTTTTGTTTTTTTTTAAAGGTTAATTTAAAATCATTTTGATTTTATCTCTGAAATTTAACATCAGTATTTTTTTGAGTTTTGACATTTAAATTATATTTAGCTTATGGAGACTAGTACTTATAGACCAAGTAATTTCAAGAACTAAAATATTGATTTTAGATTTTAGAAATTAAAATTAAGATGAGATCGAATTTCTAAAATTAGAACTTGTATTAGCTCTATTTTTAAAGAATCGCAGGGAAAAGTTTTTAGGTTCCTAATATAAATAATTTTATTTAATTTATTGTATGATATATAGTTTTGTGGCTAATCAATTCTTACGTGTCAGTTGTTCTTTGCATGAAAAGTATACGTTGATAGAATTTTTAGATTTGTATTAAATTTCATTTTACTACCTCCCTTAATTTATAAAATGTATTTTCAGTTTTTTAATATTATACTGCTAGTTCTATCTAGCAAAAAAAAATGATGACTCATCAAATTTAAATGCTGAATGTGTAATTATACCCTGGCATAGCTGGCTTGCACTTCATAACAATGAAAATATTGTTCCTTCCATGCATTAGTTAAAAATCAGAATTTGATTAAAAACATTTAATGAAATTGAAGTTTGATTTTGTTACATGGTTAAAGCATTCAATAATAATTGGTTTGTAAAAATTATGATTTATATTTATCATAATTTTTAAAAATGTATATTAAAAATGTGTGAAAATGTCATAATGTTATGAAATAAATGAATTTATCATGATTTTCTTATGTTATTAGCTTTAAATTTTAAAAGAGATGATTCCTATTTTAAAAGCTTCAATTTAAATGTATCTTAACATTGAACGAGTCCTTTTTTTTTCCCAGTTTCCACCTTCAATTATTTATTCTAAGATTATACTTTTTTTTTTTCATTTTCCTACATACTTTTATTTTTGATTTATTTTGAGAGAATATTTAAAAAAAAATATTTATGATATATTTATTATTTTTAACTAATTTTAATTCATTTTAATGAATAAATAAATTATTTAAAATTGATAATAAAAAGTATTGATTTTTGATATCAATGATAAGTAAAACGACAACAGTATTTTTGTATACAATTTTTCTAATTTTTAAAGCTTTTTTTAATGATTTTTTCTTTAAAAAAAATAGCAGTAATTAGGGAGGCAAAGATGAAGAAAGGGGTAAATAGTGGGAGGCACGTAGGTAGGGACAGGCACTTTAGGGCAATAGCGGCGCACATGACGAGAGGGCCACCCTCCGTCGCCTCGAGCCCTTCAATTTCTAATAGTTAATTAATTAATTAATTATTAACTTACGCTTTTACCCTCTCCCCTTCTCTCTCTGCTCTTGTGGGTCCCACCAGCATCCCACACACTGACTTTCTCACTCTCAGTCCTAGACTCAGTCGGCGCCACTCTGTGATGTGATCAGATCACATTTTTGGGTTTTTGTTATGTCTTGTTGTTTCGGCTACGCAAGCAGCCGCATGTAATAGCCCCTCCCACTGTCCCCACACCGCCCTCCACGTGTCCTCTTCCCTTCCCCCTATCTTCATGCGCTTCTTTATTACTCATTGACTTATGGTTTGGGACGGTGGTGAGAACAAAAATTGTGGTTCAAATGATAATTAATATAATCTTTGCCACATTAGTCCCTGTTAATATTAAAATAGAGAGATAATACAAAAAACCTAATTTAAAATATGATGAAATCATAAATATTTGATAAAATTTAAATAATTATAGCAACTTACTCCTCTAGTCCTATTTATTATGACAAAAAAAGATATTTTTCTGTCCTATTTATAGGATATTGAGATTTTTTTATATGAATGTGTAATTTTACCTTTAATTTATTATTGTGCTGATTTTGTTCATATAAAGCATAATATATATTACAGGGGATAAATTTAAAAAGTTGTTAAATTTTAAATAAGAATTAATAAAATTTAAAATTTTCTTTCGTCCGTTATAAATATGTTGGAAATAGCTTATAAATATAACCAGAGGAGTAATTAAAAATTAAATGAAACAATTAAATCTAATAAATTATGAGTTTTGACAAAAAAGGGGTTCCTATCTGTAATTTTTCAAATTCTATTGTTTTATTTATGATTTTTCCCCATTAAAATCTAATGAAATTGCATGTACACAACTCAAAATAATGTGATTTTTACGTACAAGTTAGTTTTCCCTATATTAATAATAATTGTAATATTTGTTGAAAGTACTTCTTTTGAGGAAAAGGTGAATTGTTTTTTGGAGAGAGGGACATTGATAGAGGGAGTGGGTGTTAGGAGGCAGGACATGTGGTTGGGCTGAAATTGGGCCCAAGGCATAGAGAGAGAAGAGGGATAGAGATGTGGTCTCAAAGCACTAATTAGATAATGGCATGCTTAGAGTTCTGTAGGTTGGTCCTCCCCACTATCCCTAATCCATAATATATCCAGAAAGCCTGCCCCCTCTCCCCTGGGTCACTGCCCTATAACCCCTCCCCCTATCCTCCCTAGTACCCTACTCTCTCTCTCTATCTATCTATTATGTCCTCTGTCTCTTGATTGTGATTGGTTACAATTATAGTACTCCATTTTCTTGCCTTTTTTTTTTTTAAAATTTTTTTTCCTGCTTCTTCTTTGTCTATTATTGAGTCTAAACATGACAAAACATGTTGGGTGGTTTATTTAAGCTCCAGTCTTCCCCAGCCATGAGTTTCAATTTCTATTTTTTTTTTTCTTTTGAAAAAAAAAAAGAAGGTTTGATGGGATATGATGTTGGGCCCCATGTGATGTGATGGGCCTTGGTGCTTTGGATGCCCTGTTTTGTCTCCCATCACAATACGCCACTCCCAACACAGTACTTTCTAATAGTTAACACTACATGAAATATCTTCCCCCAAAAATAAATAAATAAATAAATAAAAAGTCATGCCCTTCAAAAATGGTACATTCAAATATTTACTAAAAAATTTACATTATTTATCAACAATAAATAGCGCAATTCGCCTCAGTTGTGGAGCAAACCTGAAACCGACACTTTACTATGAGTGGTTTCAAATTTATGGTGACCACCAAGAATCTCCCTTAATGGGCCAGCTTTTTAATCAAAATTCACAAAATATAAAGTAAACATATGAGAGGTGTTTTGTCTCTACTCACACTTAAATAGAATGGCTTAAAAGTAGCTTTTCAATCATAAAAAAAAAAATATTTCGACTTACATAAAACATATTTATAAGTGTTTATATAAGTAATATGAGATGTGTTTTGTCTCCACTCACACTTACATAAGGGTCCATTTGGAATGGTTTAAAACTAGTTTTTCAATCGTAATTTACAAATACGAATAAAATGTCAAAAAAATTGTTTCGACTTACATAAAACATACTCATAAGTGTTTATATAAGTGATACCAAACAAGCACTAAGTCAATCCAAATGAGTAGTTAATGTATGAAGTTGTGGATTCGATTCTTTTATGATGGTTCTACAGCTCATTCTACCACTATGGCTATCACGAACGTGAGTTCTTTCTACTAGAATTGCAATGTTTTATAGACCCAATATCATGCTATGTTTTAGTGTGGGCACAGGTACTGATTAACGTTAAACACAAAGTCAATCATTAAACTAACATGACAAGAACAGAAACTTTTAGACAGGTCCTAATCAAACCCATTAGATTAAAACCTAGTATGTATTAGCATTTGAGAACTGATGCACATGCCCTCCAAAAGCTAACACTTGATTCTCAATAATCAAATACCTCTATGAGTGCATTTCTTTTATGTAGCAGAGATGCTGCTCGACTGCTTGTCCTCCACTAAAACTCTTTCACTTTGTCTTGTTCTGCTATTCCACCATTAAAATAGAGTTTTTGAAGCTGAGACCATCCTTTTCAATCATCTTAACAAAAAAGAATGCCTATGCCCATAAGTTTAGATTATGTTTTACTCATTATTTTTCAAAATAGAAAAAATTGAGATAAATCTCGGGTAACCTCCGATTTTGACCTCAGCACTTGAGGCTAAAGAGAGCATTTGAGAAATCAAAAGCAAAAGTTCCATAACTTTTGTCAGCAAGTCCAAGTTCTTTTAGAAACATGTCCCGTTTTATTTATTGTTTTTGAACTGGAGAACATGTTTTGCTTATGCCTGTAACAATAAACTGATCCATTCGTCCATAAGTAATTGGATCTGCCAAGCTCGACCTTTTTTGGAGCATTGTTCATCCCCTTCTTTACTGTACGATTTACATATATGTTTGCTTTTACATTGTTAGCCATAAAATGAAAAAACCAAACATATGCTGCACAAACTCAACCTTTACATAACCTATTGCTCTGCTTTAAAACATTTGACAATGCACGTTTCTGAAATCAGTTCCTGATAATTTTGAAGCCATGAAATTTATTCTCTGTTTTTTTTTTTTGGACAAAAAATAATTCCTTTTAACGAAGCCCTGATGCAAGATTATAAGCATCATCGCACGAGGTGTAAGCAACAAAGGAGTAGACACGTAAACATCATAAAATTAAAGATTTCAAAACAAGCTAATTATAATACAAAAGGTTTCAAGATTAGTCGTCTAACAAAGGAAAAAAGATTGTTCAGCAAACAAGTTTCTTATGCGGAAACCCTGGCTCCAGTGAGTTCAACTTGTGTTACAGCTTCGTTAATAGCATCCATCACCTGTAGCTTTCCCCTACTCACTGCTTCATCCATTGGCGTTCGCTCATAACTGAACAATAATATTGTTAACTTGATCACTCATTTATGGCTAGTGGAAAGAAATAAAAAACAAAACAGAAAAGGAAAAAATAATTGAGAATGAAAAATGACTTTTAATCTGTTATGCTCCTAGTTTGGGGGGAAAAGTTGGCCCCTTGGGGTACTGTTGATTAATAGTTAGGGTTAATAAAAACTTAAACCCTTCAAGTTTGTCTTCATTTTGGTTTTGGTCCATCAAGTTTTAAATCACAGGTTTTGGTCCCTCAAGTTTCTTTTTATTTGAAACATTGGTCCCTATAATAAAAAAAAAACTTAGAGTATTTTGCTCTCTGAAGGACCAAAACCTACGGTTTGAAACTTGAAAGACTAAAACTAAAATAAGGACAAATTTGGGGGATCAAAAATTATATTAACTCCTAACGGTTATAAGGATATAATAGATATTACACACAAAAGGGCCAGTGAAATGATTTAAAGTTTAAACTTGATTTAAAAAACTTCAGAGTTCCAAGTTGGAATGTGACATACCTATTTAAAACACCAACATTAGCACCTGACAATATCAATTTCTTCACCACCTGAAGAGATTTTCTTGTTAACAAGACTTTGAGAAGTGAAATCAATACGGATGATCTAAAATGGTAACTACCTCAACATGTCCATTGAGACAAGCCCAATGAAGTGGTGTATTCTTCTCTTCATTTGATGAATTAACATCCTGTTAATGCAAGCTTCATAACCTTAGACGCCATATTCTACCCATTACAATTACCAGTAAATAATCCTTGCCCAAATATAATGGAACTCATGGGCGTAATAAAATATAAAAATAAGAAATAGTAGGTATGCAGTATAAGGACCCAAATATATGTCAACAAAAAGTTTAGTTGCAAATCATAATTAAGTGGAAAGATACCACAACTTCATGAGGTTAGCTTGTAAGTAATGAAATGATACGAGTAGCAGCAAAAAAAATTCTAACATGTTACGCTTCTAGCCCTCTACTGAGTTTTCTAGGAAATAAAAAATCGACTACTCCAGTCAAAGGTCAACCCAACTCAAACTGTCTTTAGCTCAAGTCCTTATAAAACAAGACACTGTCAGTTGTGTAATTGTAAATGCAGGGCTTGATTACTTTCCAACCGCTGGTTTGGCGTCTAGACTCCAAAATTATTATATACTAGCGCAATCTCATGCATGAATAAGTAACAGTAATAAACTACGCATCAATATCAACATATACTCTAAAAGTAAAATCTACTACCATGTTATGTTAATGTGTACGTTAAATTTTCTAAACTTTTGGCAATTTTGCCCCCTTCCAACCCATTTTATGGCATTTGAAAGAAAGTTTTCAAATCTGCATGCATTGATCAGGGGTTGCTCTAGTTTCTATCGAATTCCAAAATGGAAACTATAGTCTTACCTTGGACAAGCTTTGCAGAACCAATACAGATCAAAAGGGACAGCTAAGTAATTCCAGAAACTACTTAAACATGATAGGTTAGAGCACATCCGATTTCCACCCACCACAATAAAATAGTTATTTTTCTCATCATCAAATTAGTCATACGCATCATATTTCAAGCAATATTGATAACTTATCCACATAAACTCTGCAGCAAAGTGCCAAACGTGTTCAAATAGAATAACCATTAGATAAGTAACAGATGGATTCTCTACTGTAACCCAACTGAACATTTGGATCCCGATTGGTATGAAGTATTAAAAATGAGGGGTGGCAATTGGGATTGGGATTGAAAAAACGTACTAAAAGAATATTTAGCATGAGAGATTTTTTGTTACGTGAAATTAAACAAACCCATATATATGGGATTCGAGAATGCCATAGTGGGAGGTGGTATTCTCCAATCCCACCTCAATGGGTTTGCTTAATCCTATGTAATAAATAATTAGTCAAGCTAAATACTTTTTTAATGATTTTTTCAATTACAATTTTAGTCTCTATCCCTCATTTTCAATGTTTTGTACCAAACGAAACCTCAATGTTTTCCCACATTAATAGACAAATGAGTAGGATGATAAGGTGATAGAGTGTTTTTAAAAGAATAGTCTATAAGACGAGCTTTAAAATTTTTCCAACAACAGTATTCGTACATCAATGCATCGTATGAAACTAAGGAGGAAGTACACATGCATTAGGAGCCAATAGCTACAGCCATTGGTGTTTCTTTATCATCAGATGAAGCTATATATAACATAACGATACATCATGGAATCATCCCATGAACATGGTAATGATCACAAAGATGACATGTTAACAGGATCAACAAATTAAGTAAAAGCCTCTCAAATTTTAGCAATCAGTTAATGGCATATTCAAAACTAAAATTTTCAAAAAGAAGATATGTATTTGTGGGGAAAAGATTTCTTACCACACCTCTGCTGATTAAGTAGTCTACAATGTCAAGATGTCCATTAGCAGCAGCCATGTGAAGAGCTGAATTCAAACATTAAGGAAGGCAAGGTCAGAAACACAAGCAAAAGTTCAACCAGTGTGAGCATTTTTATTCCATTTCCAATAATTGTTATTATCTTGTCCTCCAAAGATGCTATTTTCCTTTTTCCCATGTGCTAATAAAATTCTCCTTCTGCTAATTGATTTTCAATTTGTAAAATCAATGTTTCAAGTATAACCGAAAATATGCACCCCTGTTCCTAAGGCACGGACACTTTCCATGCTTGCTCCGTGGCCTCATCAGTTGCCAGCTTTCAAAATTACCACGGCAAAATTACCTCCATCTCTTCAGAATTTCAATTTCGCGCACTTAATACTTGCTCAGTTTTCTTAAAAATAATTCACATGGAGTACCACCCAGAAATAGTTACTGACCTGTTCGTCCTTGTGAATCCTTGGAATCAAGAGGAACACCAATAGATGCCAGGCTCACAAGATCATCCATATCATCATATCGCGCAGCCTATTAAATAAACAGAAGTTCAGATTTTTACATTCATTGCCGATAAATTAAAATATGTCGTAACATAAGCATATTAAACAATGAAGAAAAAGGAATTCTTGGTTTTAAGAATGAAGAAGGCATGAGCCAGGCAAAAAGGAAGTAACTGATCGGCGAACAGTAGCTCACCTCAAGCAAGGCATCCACATGCTCCTCCGTCAGTTCAGGTGCAGTACTCTGAGCTGTATTTGGCGCCTCCACCCCCATTGGCGACAGTTTTATAGTATGGAAGATCAATAGTAGCCGAAGAATAGATAAAAGGCTGAAAGCGGTGCGACGGTGAGATGGAAGAGCGATGCGACGGCACCTGGAGATGCACCAACGCCGACGATAACAACGGGTACGTAACGTGCAAGCCGGAGACGGCGCGGATTAGACTGAAGTTCGAAGAAGCATAGGGGATTTTGGGTTAAAATCAGAAATCAGAAATCATAAAATATTAATTAAAAAATACTCCCAAAAAACCCAGTAAATAAATATGTATTCTTTATTATTATTTTTTTGCAGACCTCAGCCCAGATCTATTGGACGAATGATGTGCTGGCCCACATTCAGGTTTAAAAAAGGCCCAAGAGTTTATTGCTAGGGGACCTACTATGTGGATTGGGCTGATCCAGACATAAATCAGGATGGCCTAGTTTGCTTAAAGTTCTATGGAGGCCCAATGCATGCCTGCTATGGGTGCCTTGGTCGGCAGAAAAGAAGGGCGGTTAATGTAACAATTAATTAACGTGAAAGGGTTCGCGTAAGGCTTGGATAAAACAGGCACACATTTTATTTTGGTAAAATCACAACAAAAACGTAAAAATTACTAAATCACAAATCAGGAGTCATTATAGAATTTGAATAACAAGTGACAATAAATTTTTGACAAAATGTCTGATTAGTAATTGTACAATTTCTATAGCCCCCCCCCCCAATTTTCTCTTTTCTTAGAGTGATAACAGCTGTTGCCGATGTGAAAATCTTATCATTGGGCGATATGTGAGTATCTCTATAAGCGTTTTTTGAACTTAACAGCATGTCTTGATCCTGATGAGCCTCTAGACCGAACTCATCTAAACCTTTTTTGTATTAAAGAAAAAAACAAAAGAAGTGGCAACAAGCAATATGTTTCTTCATTTCATTTTTTTTATTAACTAATTAAGCCTCTAGAAGGATGAATCATGATTCATGAGATTATTTTCCCTTGTATGACTGGAGTTGACTTGTTTTTTTAAGCATAATATCTGAGTAATTTGGATTCTTTCTAATTATTTATTAAATGTAATTTGAGAGAGATGGATGCAGTAGTGAGTTCCGGGGAAGACCCATTATTATTATTTCTACCTAATTACATGGATTTAGTAATGAACTAAACCACTTTGAGCTTTCTTAGAAGCTAAGTATGAATATATATAATTCAGATTTGTCAATTCTGATCAATACAATATTTGATTCCTTCTAATTTATAGAATCCAATTAAACCCATTGCTATCACTTTCAATTTCGAAAACTCAAATAAGTAGTTCTGCGCAAATTGCACATGCTTGCTTTCTGTCAAATTTTCTTGCTTTTAAAGTTTCATCCTCAGAAAAATTAATTAATTAAGAGAATGTGAAGGAAAATTCAAATACAAAACCTTGTAGTAGAATACTTAAGTAATGACTGATTACACCCAAATAACCTAATCCACACAATAATTGTATCGGTTGCTGGATGTCTCCCTCCCTCTCTCTTCTAATCCATATGAATATATCTCTATATTTGAGGGGTGTGAGATAATACACACAATCACAACGTCTTCTCTGATCCTAAATTTAGGAATTTGGTAAGTAAATTATAGGGATTAAAAAAATTAGAAGTTAGTTATTAGTGTGATAATTTTCCTAAAATAAATACTGCTTTAATAATTTATGCTGAAATTATATCCCATTGATGAAAACTCTCTTTAATATATGTAACAAATAAGAAATACTACCTCCGGTTCTAATTATAAAACTAGTTGACTAATTTGAAGAGATTAAAAAATGAGTTAAGTTATTTATTTGTAATAAATAGGTGTTATCTTTCCTAAAATATCTTTGCTAATTAAGTGTATTGGTTAGAACTATCATTATTAGAAAATACTATCTTGGAAAAAAAATGCAAAAATATTAGAGACAAAGTGAATTGAGGTCTTATATTAGGATCAAAATAAAAGTCAAACGAGGTTTTATATTAAGGACAGGAGGTGCTAGTTTTTATTTGTGGGGGAATTATATAAGTTTAGAGGATAAAATGAATTGGGATAGTACACTTAGGACAAATTAAAATCAGATACCCAACTAACTTTTTAACATTTCTGGACCACAGGTAGTACAAAACTACTACCTCTGGTCCTAATTATAAGAGCCAGTTGACTAATTTGAGGAGATTAAGGAAATAAGTTGAGTTAGTTATTTGTCCTAAATAGGTGTTGTCCTTTCTAAAATATCCTTGCTAATCAAGTGTATTGACTATAACTATCATTATTAGAAGGGCTATTTTGGAAAAAAAATATATAAATATGAGAGACGAAGTGAATTGGGGTCTTATATTTAGGACCAAAATAAAAATCAAACGGGGTCTTATATTAAGGACCGGAGGTAGTATATATGAACAAGGAGGGGGAAAACTATATATTGACACATTATTGTATCCGATGAATCGGTGAACTATACCATAAATGGATCATGGCCAAGAATTGGGGATATGTGCATTTATATATGTATGGTCTCATCTCTCTATCTTCTATTACACAATCAAAGAAAATTAGTGGCCAGTCATGAAGCATCATATCATATTGATTCCAAAACCTCTTATGAACAAGGAAAGGAAAAAATTGAACTTAATCAGCACTTCACGAGACGAGATCATTTGATCTATCATTGTACAATTCTTCCCGGAAAAAAATGATCATCCATGGATATATCTCTACTCTTCTGAACATTAATTAACATACATTTTTCTCTTTTTCTTTCCATTGTAAGCCCAGAATCTGCAAGGCGAAGACCTGACCTTATGCTCCGAAATGGTCTCAAGCTTAGGAGACCAAACCTGATCCTTCGACTTCACAAGCTGATCGTAATGCTTCTTCAACTCAGGAGTACTACACAGAAAGCTATAATTACTATCGTCACTATTACCATTACCATGATCAGTTTCTCTGTCGTCGTCATTACGTCCGTTCATAAGCCTTGTGATGAACTGGCTTCACCTTTATAAGAGCTCTCCCATTCGAGCCCTTTATGTAGTCAAAAGGACTAGGGTTCTCTCCAAACTTGATCGGACATGGCGATGACGACGACTTACTGGTTTTGTTACTAGGGCATGATGATGAAGACGACGATGACCCTAGGGCTGCGAGCCACGACGGCGAGAGGACCTTACATGCGAAGCCATCTATGGGAAGAATGAAGTAGGTTTGGCCCGGCATGAGCTCGTCGTCTAGGGCTAACGCCGGGACGGGCATGCCCATGAAGAAGGAGTCGGCGTGGCACGCCATCATTTCCGGGAACTCGAACATGATCTCGCCGGCGACGTGTTTCCCTCTCAGGAATCTCGCCGGGCCGTCGTTGAAGACAAGTTTTATTGATGACGACGACGATGAAGTAGGGTTTTGCTGCACAAAACAAGGGGTCACAATCGCATTCCCCATGTCAGAAACCAGAGTACTAATGCTTGAACTAAGTAGTCGGATGACAGAATTTTCAGATCGATCTTCTTCGCCGTCAGTTTCAGTGCATGAAGAGAGAGAGAGAGTTTGGGAGATCAGAAAATCTTCTTCTTCAGCTGGATTATTGCAGAGAAAGAGGAGAGGAGGGGAAGGTTATATACAGACGGAAATGTCGACCGTGAGACAAAAGGGGGGAGGGATTGACTCTGATAAGTCAAGGTTTGTTTTTCGGTTTAAGGTTTCATGGGGTCGGTGGTTTTTGGTCAGCCGTGGCGGTTTGAACACGTTGCTCCCTCTCTCGCGTTATACTTATACCCTCGTGGCATGGGGATTATAGATTTTTTTTTTGAATAAATATTTTGAGGGATTATAATATAATTGTATATGCGTGAAATTAACAGCCCATTTGTTTTAATTTTTCAAATTATTTATTTATTAAAAAAATTTTAAGAAATTTTAGAATGTTTATTTAAGTGTTTAAAAATAATGAAATATTGAAAAAAATAGATTTATGATGGTTTTGGAGATACATTCTAAATATCTCCTAAAAAGTAATCAAATGCGAAAAAAAGAAATAAATTGCTCCTGATAAATTCAAAAATAACACGAAAATCACTTTTTTCAAGTTTAAAACAAAGAGGTCTTAATTTTTATCTGGATCTTTATTTTATTATTTCTAAATGTATTATATATATAATATTTTATTTATACTTGGACAAATATAAATCACAAGTATCAATCAATATTAATTACTATAAAATATAGGATCGATGTTATCCACGGGGACCGGAGCCTCTGTCTACTAAAGCACAGCTCATCCACACAGGCAGTCACGCACCTCTATCTACTAAAGCACAGCTCATCCACACACGCACATGTTGGGTAACACTTGATCCTTTAACCATCTATGTTTAATTCCCTTAAGAGAAATTATAAAAGCTTTAAGCTTTGATCTTGCTTTATATATATATATATATATAATATCTTCGAACCTAATTAAAACCAGCTTTTGTTTCCATTTTTCTACTTTTCTAAATTTGGGAATAACATCATGACATGTATTTGGGTATTACATAAATCAATGGTCAAATCTCATAACCAAAATAAGAAACAAAGTACAAATTTATTAATAAACTTGCTTTGAATTTTGGCATTTCCGAGAATGGGATGTAAGAGGTTGAAAATGGGCTAAACAGTCTACATATGAAAAACTTATAGCATAATCTAACACGTTTAGTGAATAAGCAGGTCAGACTCAAGTTTGTGGCTAGAACTATTTTCACAAAACGCTACTTACGATCATGACGAGTTGCCATATTTATCTATATAAATATATATATGTATGTATACAAAAACATTTCGATATCTAAAATTATTATTGGAGAAAATCACAAATAAAGAACCTAAAAATTATGAAATTGCAATATGGGTTCTTAAATTAATAAAATTACTATTAGAGACCAGGTCTTCAATATAGATTATGAAGTGTTAGTTAAAAGACCAAAATGCTCTTTCTTTCTTTTTCTTTCTCCTCTTTTATTCTTCTCTTCCAATCCCTCTCTTCCTCCTTCTCTTTCCTTATCCTCTCCTTCCTCTTCCTTTTCCTTCCCCTCAAAACCCCTTTTCTCATCCCTACCTCATCTCTCTATAAAACTAAACCTTCCTTCTCGTATCTTCTTTGCATTGTCTTTCATTTCCTCATCACCATTCACCAC